TGTGACATCATCCCAGGCCCAGAATCTGCCTGTGTGTGACATCATCCCAGGCCCACGATCGGCTCTTCCTATCACTGTCCCACCCTGTGTGCCATCATCCCAGGCCCAGCTGCTCCTGTCAGCTGTCCCCTCTCTGTGGCACACTGGAGCCATCAGCTTGCCTTGATGACTACGGAGACACCGTGACGGCTCCCCTCCTCTGTCCTACTTCTGCAAAGCCTACTCCAGCCATTGGTCAAGCGACTCTCAGGCGCCTCCTCTTAGTCTTTCCGGCAGAGCTGGGGGAGTTAACTTTTAGGCCTGAAGGGAGGTATCAGACACGTCCTTCTCATGCACGAGCCCTTCACAGCTTTCCATGGTGCCGAGGCACCGTCTGCTGGGGGCCGCCCACGTGATCCCATCACCACAGCTTCGCTCCCTTCGCGGTAATGTCCATCCCCCGGCCTTCTTGTCCTTCCCTGGATGATATCAAGCACTGTGCTGCCACAACACCTCGTCTCTGCTCTCCCTTCTCCTCAGAAGTCCCTTCATACTCAGCCCTTCCGCTGCTGTCCCTGACGGCTCAACCTCGGGTTGGGTCACCTTCACCACACCTCTCTCAGATGTCTATGTGATGTACTTCTCAGAACCTCTACATGCTGCAGCATTATTATTTCTGTATGTCTATGTGGTGTACACATGCATGTTCACGTGTGTGAGTGCACCTGTCTGTACATGCACACGAAGGGACATTGGTGCCTTCCTCTACCCCTCTCAACCATATTGACTGAGGCAGTGTCTCTTGCTGAACCCAGAGCGTGGCAGTTCCAGCTAGCTCAGCTTGCCAGCTTGCCCCAGGGTTCCAGCCTCTGCCTGAGTGCTGGGATTAGAGGCAGCTGCCCCGTCTACCTGGCTTTTATGTGTGTTCTGGTATCCGGGAACATCTTCAGGCTCGGATGGAAAGTATCACGGTGCCATTCTCCAGCTACTAGGACTGCTTTTTAACTTGCTTATTTCTTCTCTTCCTCACTAAGAAAGGCCACAAAACACACAAAGCAAGATCCCACCTCACTGAACGCTTGGGTCTAAGTGTCCTGCAGAGTGGATGGCCCACAGGACGCATCCCAGACCCTTTTCCGAGAGTCTCCCTGTGTAGACTGGATCTCCCCGAACAGCGAGTACAGGGTGTGCCCTTCTTCCACGTCCCTCGTGCCGGGATGGGTGGTGTACCACACCCGACCCAAACTGCTTTCTGAATAACTGGATGGACACCCAGGCTGCTACAGAGCCTGACACAGTAGGTACTTGATAAACGGCACCAAGAAAACACGTGTTTCAACTATGCAGAAATACAATGTCGGAAATACCCGCTTGAGTAGCCCAGGCCAACAGAAGTCTGTGTTCAAGGGAGCACACGGACAAAAGGCAACCTGGGACAGGGCGCCATAGCAGGAGTGTTGGGTGAGAAGGCTCACGTTTCTCAGGGGAGGCTCTGGCTGGGGAGGGGCAGGTGTGCCTGCTCAGGGCTGAACCCAGAGTCGCGCTCTGCAGCTGCAAGGAAAGACAGACCTGCAAGAAGAGCAGTGTCAGCCGGGGAAGCAAAGCTATCGAGGGCCGCGACCATGGCTGACACTTCCCAAGAACAAAATGAGGTCCTCTAACATGGCTTCTCCTGAAGAGACATAAAGTAAAAGTGAGGAGAGCCACTTCTTATTATCATATTGAGTTTATTTTATAAAAAGAAATCTTATGAAGTTGGGCTCAACTGGCAGTTCCTAGATACACATCATCAGAGAAAACGTTTGCTCTACCCATCTGAAAGCAAGCAGGAACCAGGGCACTGACGTGACTCTAAACGATTGCATCTTCAGACGTTACACAGAACAGCACCCCAGCTTTCCGAGAAGGTCCTCCAGGTTTTCACGGAGTCCTGGCTAACAGAAAAGGCGCCAGGGACTGTGTGCGACTGCTTCCCTGCTGGCTGCTCAGGACTGCAAGGCAGACCCTTTAGCATGCGACTGCCCCTCCCCCACTGTGAAGGTGTGGGTGCTCAATTATGAGGGAGGAGCCATCCCTCCCGGACTTTATCTCAGCAATCACCCACTGACTGTACGGGGCTAGGGGGTAGAAGGCCTGGTCCCAGGGCTGTTGTCAGCTCAGAACCTAGGTGGACAGTCAGATGTGTTAATGAATACAATGTAGTGCTCATTCATTTTAACTTATGACTTTATATAATTTCTCTGGGGCCCCAGCTGCCTCCTCCTAAAACAATGACTCCTGTAAGGTTCGACAGAGCCAGGATGAGAGAGTGCTGTGCATCATGAAAGGTAAATTCCTGGTTTACACATCGCCAAGAATGCCTTTTGACTCCTGGATGGCCCATACATTCAGCTGCAGTTTCCAGTTACAAAGAGTAAGCTGGCTTTTACTTCTGCATCTGCTGCACTTTGGTACGTGGAGTCTGCATCACCTGGGCCCTCGGGTGTGTGCACATCCCAAGGGCTCTGGGAAGGGCATGTCCTGGGAAGCAACCCACTGGTCCTGCTTTCCCACCAGAGTCTCCGGCTAGGGCAGCCGCTGTTTCAGGGCATTCTTCAGGTGTTCCACAGTGTGTGGTCGGCTGGCTTTTCTACTTTGCTTCTCCTGACTATACTGGTCAAGGCTCCCTTGAGTTTGGTTCGAGAATTCTCTGCTCCTGTCATGTGGAGTCTGCAGAAAGCTGGACTCTTGGTTTGAATACCAGCACTGGCCAGACGATGTCACATGGTAAAGTGACAGGACCCGGCACACTTTTCCAGCTAATGCTGCTGCAATGTGCAGCCTAAAGAACGGACTGAAGGGGGTTGTGTTTAAAGTTCTAAGGCCAGCCAGGGGCTCACACAGTGACTCTAATACAGACTCCCAGTTAAGCACCAGCAGAAATCCCACTAAAGAATAGTTCTAGTTGTTTTTTCCTTCCCCATAGTGCTGGGAATAGGACCTGGGACCTTGTGCATGATAGGTATATACTACAGAGCTACGCCCCCAGTTCCCAAGACTTTCAGTTTTTAAACAGTTATGAAATATTGACATACTCTTCTAAAAAGATTGCTGAAAAGTGAGACAAGTTGCTTGAAAAAGAGGTATTTCTACTCTAAATATAGAAACAACACATCCATGTTTATTATTTGTTTCCTCATATGTGAAGTAAGTGGGACAATGTTATGGGCCTCCCAGGAGTGCCATGAGCGGAAAGAATGCCACCATAGACAGATCTAGCACCATCAGCTCCCAACACAGTCCACTAACAGCAACTCGCCCGGCCCCAAGCGGTCAGCAGGGGGGCGGTCTGGGTCACAGCAGCACAGTTTGGGGATGGGCTGGTGGCGGACTCAATAGGTCCGTAGTTTCTTTAGACTTGGACCTTTAATTGGTTTTGTTATTATCTTAAATCTTTATTGAAGGAAATGGGCATTGTTAGCATTTCTTCTCCCTCCAAAGGAAAAAAAAATCAAATTTCAAGAAAAATGTTTCTGCCTATTTATGGTGTTAGCATTAATTTGCCTGTATTTTGCGTTTAGGGAGTTATTACAGAAAGGCAGTTTGTGACAGCTGAGGAGAGAAAACCTGACAGCTGAGCGAACACAGCTGTACTTGAGCAAGGTGTGAAGAGTCGCTAGTTAGAAGCCAAGCTTTCTAGCAAGGGAAGATAGAGAGGACAGGATGAAATGCCTCTGTCCCGAGCCACCGATGTGGCGAAGACTACATGTTCCAACCAAACGTCTGGACTCCAGCAGACAATCCAAACCCGGGACAAGGCACTAGGTTAGGTAATTATTTGTAGTATATAGAGCTATGTTTCTCAGAAACTCCATATGAAGATACAATGTATGTATTTCACACACACACACACACCCCATTTCCTAAGTAAATGTACTGTCTCGGAGCCTGTCCTAATTTACACTCCTCACAAACGCCTGCTTTCTCACACTGCAAATGAAGA